GTAACTTGTGAAATAACTATTTGAAAATACCATGTCCACACTACAGGGAAGCTTCAAAATTAGTCTGAGGCAGGTTCCCTTAACGTGGATGCGCTATCTTGACTTAGAGCCCCAGGAAGCACCGGGGAGTAGTTATATCAAAATAGTAGCAGAGGAGCATCAACACTAATCCTATTTCAAAATAGCCATTTCTAAATAAGAATATCCCCTGTAGAATGAGGGGTTATTATTTTGAAATAACAAGCCCATTATTTCAAAATAATTTCAAAATACTGGGCTTGCTATGTGGATGCTTATCTTGTTATTTCAAAATAAACAGGAGTTATTCGGAAATAACACTGAACAAGCCCATCCCTTGTGCTGTGTCCAGACTCAGGGTTTTTTTCGAAAAAAGTAGCCTTTTTTCGAAAAAACTTCACCTGCGTCTAGACTGCAGCCGCGTTCTTTCGAAATTAAATCGAAAGAATGCGGCTTTTCTTTCGACGGTGGTAAACCTAATTCCACGAGGAAGAACGCCTTCTTTCGAAAGTGCTCTTTCAAAAGAAGGCGTTCTTGAAAGCAAACAGGCTTTTTAGAAAGAGAGCATCCAGACTCACTGGGTGCTTTCTTTCGAAAAAGCAGCTTGCTTTTTCGAAATTCCGCGTGCAGTCTAGATGCTCTCTTTCGAAAGAGGCTTGCAGTCTAGACATAGCCTAAGAGATTACGAAGTTGTAACAAGAAAAAAGCTGGGCCCACTAGATTTGCTGTTGGTTGAGGGCTTTGTCTTTATGCAGATATTCTTAATTCTTATGGAAACGTACTATTTTTAAATAATGGCCCCATTCATCAAAGACAAATCTCATAGTTGTATTCTATGGGTGTGAGTTTCTTAGAGTAAAAAAAATGGGTATAGTGGTTGCTGGGGACTGTGTTTCTGAGAAAGTACTGCCCTGATTGTCAGCTTCAGTGATAAGGTTTGTGTGCCCTCTAGGTGCGCTATTGTGTGAGTGGAGGTAAATGCAATTTTGAATTGCTCAAAGGTCTTTTGAGCCTGGGAGACCAGAGTAATTTATTAGTTTCATGAAGTAGAGCAATGAGGAAGTGAAATGTGTTTTGCCTAAAAATGAGTTGCGGATATAAATTTGTAAATCCCAGGAAGTGCTGTAGTTCTTGGATGTTCTGTGAACTGCCTACTCAATATTTGCCATTTCTTTAAAATGGTCCATTTCAATACCTTCAGGAGGTAAGATGAACCTTAAGAATTCTAATGGAGTCCTGACCAAAAGCATACTTCTTTGGCTCAGCATAGATCATATTCCAGCTCATATTGGTCGAGAATATCTTGGAAGACATAATTAATAGAGTGTTGAAATGTTGCAGGGACATCAGTTAAACTAAATGGCTTCACGAGTTATTCAAAATGTCCACAATGGATTCAAAAGGGAGTCTTCTAATCATCCCCTATGAAGCTATCTGGACCCCAGAGCTCCTATTTTGTCTATATATAAGCAGCCCCCATGTAGTCCAGTAATTTGGACATTAGAGATAGGGAGTACTGGATCCTATTGGTGAGCTGATTTAGTAGTTGGTAGTCCATACAAAGTTGGAAGTGACCATCTTTCTTTTTAACTAAGAGGGTAGGCACCCCAGGTGGACTTACAATAAAGTCCTTGGCCAGGTACTCCTGCAGGTAGGTGCAAATATCAGTTAGTTCAGGTTCAGAAATGACATTCATATATTCAAATATATTTATTTGTTCTGGTTTCAGTTTAACAAGGCAGTCATAATTCTTGTGAGGGGGTAGAATTTCTTCATTCTGTTTTCAAATACACTGGTAAAATCAATGTGCTGGGATAGAAATTGAGGCTCAGAATAAGTGAAAGACTCTGTTGGACCAACTACCCTGCTTTGTGACCATTGGAGTTCTACTGTGTCCCTTCTCCTACCTGTAGTTAAGCAATGCACCAGTAGCATTCTGAAAAGAAACTGATCTTTAATGCATGCCAGTGAATGAGAATATTATGGAGGAAATACCCAGGATCAGGAAATGTGAAAGGTGTTAATGGCAGCATCTCATGATGACTTGTAGGGGCATAGTCTCTGTGACCACTGGTCAGCAGGATAGGGGGACTTGTCAGTTGTCTCTGCTAAGTCTGGAATAGGGTTGAACCTTAGGGGAATCTATGGAGTACAGGCCGTATGCCTGTCATTAAAATTATCCTTTGCACCCAAGTCAGTAAGAGTGGAGGCATTGGAAAGCAGCACTCTGGGACATGTAGCTCAAATGCAGTGTTAGTTGATGGCATTCAGCATGCATTACACAAAAGCTGTGTCTACATTGGCACCCTTTTCCGGAAAAGGGATGCTAATGAGACCAGTTGGAATTGCAAATGCCGCAGGGGATTTAAATATCCCCCACGGCATTTGCATGAACATGGCTGCTGCTTTTTTCCGGCTCGGGGCTTTGCCGGAGAAAAGCGCCAGTCTATACGGGATCTTTCAGAAAATAAAGCCTTTTCCGGAAGATCCCTTATTGCTCTTAAAATCAGGAATAAGGGAACTTCCAGAAAAGGGTTAGGAGGTGCTCGACTGTCTCTATACCCAGCTGGACCCCAGTCGGAGGGACTGGTTGTCTGAGCAAACTGTCATGGGTCAGCTGAGAAGTGTTCATGACTAGTGGTCAGAGGGATGTTGGTTGGGACTAGTGGTTAGGCAAAATGAAGATAATTTAGAGAAGAGTAAAACAATATTAAAAATCTGGAGGGATTGATTTAGCAGGAAAGATTGAAGGGATTGAATTTTAAATAGCTGCAAAAAGGGACATAACTGTGCACCAGTATTAAAAGAGGATGTAAATACCAAAAAGCAAAGGAATTATTTGAGATAGTACAGAGGGTAGAAGTACTATAGGAATTAAGGCATGCAATTAAAAAAGTGAATTCGTCTGAATGTCAGAAAAAATAATGGTAAGATCTGTTGAATTTTTAGAAGAGTGTTTTAAAGGAAAAAGTGAACACCTCTTGACCTGAATAATTTAGAATTAGCCTAGACACAGTACTTGAAGGAAAAATCTTGCATTGGCATATGATGGTTTAAATTGCCTATCAGGACTTTTCCATCTCTTAGGGTATGTCTAGACTACATGGCTCCATTGACGATGCCATGTAGATGAGTTTACTAGACATAGGAAAATGAAGTAACGATTTAAATAATCACCGCTTCATTTACATTAAAATGGCTGCCGTGCTGTGCCAAGCAGCTGTTTGGCGGCAAAGTTGCGCGCCGCGGTTGACAAAGGCTTCCTTTGTCGACTGCTCCGGTAAACCTAATTTCACAAGGCATGCCAGAGTGGTCGACAAAGGCTTCCTTTGCTGACCGTGGCACGTCCAGACTGCCCCACTACGCCGCCAAACAGCTGATGGGCACAGTGCAGTGGCCATTTTGATGTAAATGAAGCGGCAATTATTTAAATCGACGCTTCATTTTCTAAAGTCTAGTAAACTCATCTACATGGCTCCGTCGACAGAGCCATGTAGTCTAGACATACCCTTAGCTTCCATTATTCTAGTTGTATTTTTGAGAGTATAACATGCCAGAAGAGACATGTACCATTCCTTATTTAACAGAACTATAGCTCAGTTGTGAGGAAAATTAGTTTGGATTAGTTAGAATTTAATTGGAAATAAAATTGTTTTTTCTGGAAAGAAAGGAGGGCCCATTGTGAACATATCTCTTTCCAAATCTAACTTACAGATCTTTTGTAATTAGACTTTTAAAAAAACACCACTTCAAAATGTACTACAGGTCTCTAATAAAGTTACATATTAAAATTAAATTATCAACTAGTATATTGAAGATCGTGTTTTATTTCATTTTTTGAAGTACAGATGTTTAAAACAAGAAACACAGGAAGGATGTAACAAAATTGCAAAGTTGAAACCATTTTAAAGATTAATGCAATTGTAATTGTTTTCTAAATCTACTTATTAGTGCATAGCACAATATTAAAAACTTGTCTTTAATATCTCTTACCTGCACAAAAAGTGATTGGACAAGTTTCAACTAAGTCTCCTTGCTGCTGCTTTGCTGACATTAAAATTCAGAAGTGAGTGGACAAGAATTATAGACTTGTCAATGTCCAAATTTTGAGCAATATCCTACACTTCCTATGCAAGATTCCCATGGTTATTTGTGGTTTCTCTCTATGGGCATGTCTACGTAGGACAAAAGTCAAATTAAGATACGCAAGTTCAGTTACGTCAATTGTGTAGCTGAAGTCGAAATAGCTTAATTTGGCTTTTGGTGCTGTCTACACAGCAGGAAGTCAAAGGAAGAACACTCTTCCTTTGACTTTGCTTCCTCCTCGTGAAATGAGGGTTACCATGAATCGGAGTGAGACAGGGGTGGGCAATAATTTTTGATGGGGGGCCACTCCAAGCTTTTGGAAATGGTTGAGGGCCAGTCTTCCATGATATTAATAGAGATGCAGAGTCTGGGATGGAGGTTGGGTGCAGAAGGGAGCTTGGGGTAAGGGACTGGGGTGAAGGAGGGTGACTGGAGTCTGGGAGGGAGTCAATTGCGTAGCTTAAGTCGAAATAGCTTAATTTGGCTTTTGGCACTGTCTACACAGCAGTAAATTGAAGGAAGAACACTCTTCCTGAGACTTCCCTTGCTCCTCATGAAATGTAAGAAGTCCTCCATCTCGGTATTATTTTTAAATAGTGTCTCTCTGTGTAGATGCACATTTTGTTGTTTCAAAATAATGTTAGTTATTCCGAAATAACGCTGTTGTGTAGACATAGCCTATGTGGAACAGAACTAAAATATTATATTTATAGTATTTATGTTAAGGGTTTTTAGAATTGTGTTTATCTATAAAACATCCAGAAATGTATCTGCTTATCTTTTAATTTGGAGTAGTTCTGGTTTTTTAAGATACATGTCAGAGTATCCCTGTTCTTTGGAGGAAGTATAAAGGCATTTACAAATCTCTTTCTTTGTTGGGTTTCTTTGAATCACAGTTCAAATTGCTGTAGTGTTTGGTGCCAACATTCTGGAACATATCTTCAATCTGTGCCGGGGTAACTTTGACTTCCTGGAACGGCTTCCTGACCCATTGCTCCTGTACATCATTTCCTTTCTGGAGCTTGAAGATATTGCCAGGCTTTCTCAAGTTTCACACAGATTTAAAACGGTAAAAAAAAAATAATAGTTACATTTATTATAAGTAATAGTTTGCAATGGCACATTCTCCTGATTTAGTTCACTTTAAACACACACATCCTTTACATATGAGTACCTTTAAGAATATTCAGGTAATAAACACTATTCCTAGTTTTAAGTATTTCAGTGGTTCTCAAACTGTGGATTGAGATCCCTTTTTAATGGAGTTGCTAGGGCTGGCTTAGATATGCTGCAGCCCAAATCTGATGTCTGAACCCCCATCCCCTGAGGTTGAATCTGAAATCCCAGGGCTTCAGCCCTCGGTGGTGGGACTCAGGTTACAGATACCCTGGGGTAACCCATGAAGGGTTGTGGTGCAATGAAGTTTGAGAACTACTGAAGTATTTGAAGGACTGGACCCATGTTTTATAGCATATTTAAGATTTTGTCATTGCATAGATTCAGCAATGCAAGGTCAGGCTCCATGGATAGTAAAGATATTAGATATTGTGTATTTTAGTAATCATGTAGCCACAACAATTTTTAGCAGTTACATGGTTACTAAAATGCTCTCCAGGGGTGAGGCTTGTAGCTAGTGCACTCCTGACACTCAGCCCCAATCTTGGGGAGCCCCCTGCTACATTGCTGCTTCTGATTCAGAGAGGCAGCAGCGTGAGAAGCCAGGTGGTTCCAGGGAGCTGATACGTGTGGGGAGCCAGATTGAAAACCCGCTTCCTGAGCATGCTGGTTACCACCTGCCCCCTTCACCCTCCACGCTGCTGCCTTTCTATCAGAGGCAGCATCGCAGTGGTGGAGGGAAAGGCAGCTCTGTGGGATCTGATGCTTGTGGGGAGCCATCTTTTAAGCGGGCTCCCCCCGAGCACTGGCTTCTGGATACCCACTGCAATGCTGCCTCTGTGGGAGGCAATGGGGGAGCAGGTGACTCCACAGGACAGCTTAAAAGCCATTTCCCCATGATCACTGGCTCCCGCCTTCCCTACAGAGGCAGCAAGGAGGGTGGGAAGGCGGGAGCCAGTGCCCATGGGGAGACAGCTTTTAAGCTGTCCTGTGGAGCCACCTGCTCCCCCGTATCAGAGGCAGCAAGGGGGAAGGGTATGCATGTAATTGTCTAGATTAACCGATAAGCCTAGGCTTATCAGTTAATCATTTAAAAGGCTATACGTTAACATTCCCTAATGGATAGTCTCAGCTTTAAAGAAATCATAGAAGGAAATATTTTAAATGATGCAACCAAGGTGAGAATTTAAAACAACGTATTATCAGTTACAATTAGCAGTACAAAACTATCAGTATTGTTGTTTGCAAAATCAACCATATTCAAAAGTTAAATATTGTCCATAATGCTGCATTCTTATGTCTTTAGGTTAATTTATCTGTATTGTGGAGCAGTGGTCCCTTTAAGCTGAGCACTTGGGCAGCCACCAAGGAGAGATTCAAATGCTGCCTAGCTGATTAGCAAAGCTTCCACAATCGCCAACATCCAGTAGCATGTGTTTCTATTGGTGGTGTACGTTTGCATATGCTTTGGAGCACAGAACATAATTTATTCTGCACATGGATGGAAGAAATTTGAGGAAACACTGTTGTGGAGTGCTTTATTACATGGAACTATGAAGGGCTTTATCACATATTCACTGCCCCTGCCAGAGGCTCCACCAGCGTGGCACATCCTACCCTAAAAAGGTACCCTGTTGAAAGGGAAGAGCAGTGAATCCACACCTCCAGAGTTACCCTAGAGAGGTGTCTCATGAGCAGCTGCAAACAGAACCAGTGAGAGTTGGTCCTTCAGCATAGTGTTTCTCAACCTTTTTTTTTTTAATAAAGTATCCCTTTTAAAAGTGTGTGTGTGTGTGTGTGTGTGTGTGTGTGTGTGTGTACCCCCCAGTACCTACAGTTTTCAAATACACAAAATGTTTTTCTACTATTCCAACACATTTGTTTAAACAACTTAATCGTAGCAGGTGATGAAATTTTTGTGTGTAAAAAGTACAAAAATAATGAAGCGCTGTAAAACTTTAAAAATTCAGTTTCTCCAAATTTCAATTGTGTTAATATACCCCTACTCCCCCCCCCCTTCACGAACTTCTTTTAAGTACCCCTAAGGGTACTCATACCACTGGTTGAGAAACACTACTTCAGCACTTAGAGGCTACGTCTTACTTTGAAGTAAGAATAAGAGCCTCCGGAAAAGGGCACTTTTTCCGGAGGATCGGGGCCAGTCTAGACGCTCTTTTCCGGCTTTTTTAAAAGCCGGAAAAAAGCGGCGGACATTTTTATTTAAATGCCGCGGGGGATATTTAAATCCCCCGCGGATTTCCCTACGACGACTAGTGAAATTTACATGCCCCTTCCGGAAAAGGGGCCAGTGTAGACGTAGCCAGAATGTCTGGGAGCGGGCAGAGGCCAGTCAGAGCCCAACAGTCCAGACAAAAAAGAGTCGGCAGTTTTTATTAAGGACCAGTTCTGAGTGAAGTCAGGACAGGGCAATCTGGCTTGGACTGACTAGTTTTATTGAGCCAATTTGCAGCTAGATAATCTTTAGTGGCTTAACCCAAGAAACCTAGTTTAGCCAGGCCTTATTCTTGACCACATTGGCCTTGGGTCTCTATGAAGGACAAAGACTTTAACGCCCATGTGGCTATTTTGAGTTAAAGTTTAATTTGGTTATTTCTAACCCCAGAAAGGGACTGGCCTGAAAGCTGAACTGGCCAGAGGGTTAGGCCATGGAGGTGACAGACCATTGCAGATGCAGGGCACAAAGAGGTACTAAAGAGGATGAGTCTGCAACACTGTGATATGTGATTTGTGATTATTTGGTCAGTATTACATCATGAACTCATGATATGATGTAATACTGACCACATAATCAAGTGGTATTTAGATCTTTTCTTTTGCACAGTAAAACTTCCTTTTTCACCTTTTGGATACTCAGAATCTCAACTGAGGGGAAATAATATTTCTAAACTATATTAATATTTGTATGGACATTGGGCTCAGTTATGAAAGTAAAGTGGAGGATACAATAGGGACAGTGGTGAGGAAAACAATCCAACCAAAGCTTCTGGAAGCTTTTGCCTCACACAATACCTGTGGGGGTGGAGGGTGGACATAGTTGCTGTGCCATACTTGAATTGGGCAGACTGTACACTGTTCTAATCACTGGCCTTAATGATTAGAGCTGGGGCAGTGCCAGGACCCTGTGCCCTTCCCCTTCTTTCTCTCTCTTTTTTAAAGAGTCCTTGACCATGAGCACTAAACTGGAGCAGCCCCATATTCAGGTGAATTAAAAGATTGCTGTTGCTAAAAGATTGTAGAAAGTGATTTATCATTTTCTTCCCAACCATGGAGCCTTGTAGGACATAGAAGGTTGCTTTTCATTACCAAATTATCAACCTAGAGCTTTGTTTTTCCTTTCCAAGGTAAAGAGATAACCACATCCTTTCATTTCCAGGCACTGACTAATATTCTGGCTAAATATCATAGCCACAAGTAACCTGCAAAGACTCCTAGATAATCGCTAGCTTTACTACTGGTGGCTCTTATTGTGGAGCATCTTTTTCCCTTTATCCCATCATTACTACAGTCCACCTTCTGTTTCCTGTTCTTGCCAAAGACCCAAATTGTCAGCAAACATATTTGTACACTTTTAAATATGTTTACCTTTATTTGCTCACATACTCATGTGTTTATTTATTTTCTCCCCATGTAATTCGAAGCATAAATCTCATGTTTTTCTGTCCAGAATTTAATATCCTAATGCCAGTTTCAAAGTATACTTTTGCATTTTCACTGGGTAATATTTAAAACAAAGAGTGTAAAATAAGCTGTTTTATAAAATTAAACAAGGAATTTATTTGCAATGTTTTAACACCACTTGAACACCCCCACTCAAGAACTGCAAGAGGTTTTCAAAATATCACTATTTACTGAAATATATAACATGGAATTTTCCATTACAGGTTCAGTAGATTTCTTACATTTATCTTGTTTATGAATTGTAAATGGTTCTATAAAAGCAGTTATTTTAATTGTAAAAAAAGTTACTTATCTTTCTGGCAACAAAAAAGTGACCACCAGAGGGGGCTATATCCATGATACAAACATGAAGAAAAACATTTGAGATTATTGTTCTCAACTATAGAGTCCAATTTGTTTACACTTACACTAGTTTTACACCGGTGTAATTCCATGAGTTCCGTGTCGTTGCTTCTCTATTACACCAGTGTAGTAAAGAGCATAATTTCTAACTCTGAAAACTGACTATTGTATTATATAGTCTTGTGATGGGGTCAACCCCCACCTCTCACAAGCATCGCCTCTTGTCACATGTCCACATTCTGTATCCTTTGGTGGCCCCCTTTTACAGGTTCCCAGGAGGTTTTTCTAGTCTCACTTGAGGCTCTGTTTTTAAATAATTTCAGCCCTAGTATGAGGCTGTATCCTTAGGGCTTCCCCCTTGGAGCCCTCCCAGGCTCAGGTGATAACTATTTTCACCCAGTTATCACCCAGTCCTAGCAGCCAGTGAAAAGCCTCCAGTTCCTCCCCTACTTCCTTATGGTTGTGCTGCAATTCCCTTAGGCAGCTAGTCTGACTCCTCACAGCTCCTAGGAGCAGCTCAACCTGACAACTCTTAGCAACCCTCTCACTTGCTCTGCTTGGCCACTCTTTTTAATATGAACCTCCTGGGCCCTGATTGGTTGCCTCCTGTGCAATCACTCTCCACTGCTCCCTACATGGAACTGGTGTGGCAAAGCCCTGAGATCTCAGCAGGGGGCCTTTGGGCTCAGTGTACCCCTTCACAATTCTGAAATCCACTAGAACTGAAAGAATAAAATAATAATATTGAACGGAGATTTGCCCTGTATGTTTTATATATTGCATATGAAGTGCTAAAAGGTAGTCTCCATTATTTTCAATTTAATACAATTCCAGATTTTCTGGGTACAACAGAACAGAGAAATTTAACAATCAGACATTTTAAGAAAGGTTTTAAAATTCATCCCTTTTTCTTCTTTCAGGTCCTTGGAAGCAGTATTTCCCATAATCCCTGCTTTCCGATTTTGCTTAGACAACCCAGCATGTAATATGCTGGTAATACAACCCCCACAATTCAGTGCTGGAACTTGTATAGGGACTAATTTATAGTGCATCTCCATTGACTACAGAGGGGTTGTACCAATTTAGGCAATTGTAAAACTTGTGTAAGGGGAGAATCAGATTCAGTATCTTCCGGAATCACTTATTTTAAAGTCTGTATATAATGATTATACCAATGCATCTAGTCTTCCTAATATTACTCTTTATGATAGTTGTATCATATCTGAAAAATAACTTAATTTCCTCTTTCTGCTTATGTTATACTGGCCAATTCGATTGTTTCCAAACAATTCTGTTTATGCAGTCATTCAAAAGTGGGAAGCATAACCCAAGCATTACAATCTATCTCCAGAATTGAATTGCTCACAATTCTTATGAAAGCTTCTTTCAGTTGCATGGGGCCAGTGGGCCAAATTAACCTGATGTAAATCCAGAGAATCTGATAGTATAGCACTACAAATGAATGGATTCAGCCCTTTTTCTTTACCACAAACACATACATATATGTTTGTAATATGATTTGTAAATAACATGAGCCAAATTTCTGGTATAAACTGACACAGATCCATTGACTTCAGTGGAGCTGTGCTAATATATGTCAGCAGACAGTGTCCCCCTATGTGGCCTTTCTGTCACAACAGATGGAAAAATATTTTAACTCATAACACAGAAAGTAACTATGAGAATAATTTACAGAATTGATATCATCACATACAGTTTATCTAAAGATGGTCAGTAGGATTTTTTTTTCCAAAAAAGGTCACATCCTTGTATATAAAGCTGACTTCTTAAACAATAGGCTCTGTTGCCTTCTATCTGTTTTTTGGGAACAAAATGGTCAGTAAATATTGAAAATGTCTGTCTATGTTTGTTTAAACCAGAATAACCCTGCCTACTTTCTCTTATAAATAGATATGCAACTCTGACACACTGTGGGAGAAAATTGTACAGAATTTGTGTGGTGCAATTACCGCTGAAATGAGAGCACTGGCACAGGAAGTGAGTTGGAAGCAGTTCTTCTTCACAAACAAGCTTCAGCTACAGCTTCAGCTCCGAAGAAGGAGGAAGAAACAAGCTGATTCAAAGAAGGCACTGACTAAATAAAGCAGCATGCCTTTTCATTATGAGCAAAAGTTCTAAGTGCAGACTTGTACATTCTATTATAATTGATTATTTGTTTCTTTCACTGAAAAAATTAATCTGACTTGAGAATTAAAACAGTAGATGTAAAACATAACATAAGCAATACATAAACAACATAGCCTTTCATAGACTGGACTTCCGAACATTTTATTAATCAGGCTGTCAGCTACCACCAGTAGTAGTTACATCTCTCCTGAACTTTTCTTCACTCTGAACTATAAGAAGTTTATATATCAAGTGGTTACCATTCAAACAGTCAGCATTTGACAACAGATACCATAATGTCACCACATTTATTTTCTAAGAAATAAGGAGAAATGTGGTATGCCAGTTCTTATTGAGTAGAAATGATTGGTAAATGCTGGCTATTTACTGGCCACCATGGGAAATGTTAAAAGGTGACCAACAAATATCTTGGGTCCAAAATATGACATATTAAAGTGGTTTTAAAATTAGTGAACATCCTCTGTAGTCCAGATGTCTAAAATTAATTTCAAATAAATGAGCAAATCAGCACTCTGTCACTGGGGGAAACATTGTTAAGAGACCAAGAACTGAATAGGTATGTATAGCAAACCACACTCTTCCTTTTTAGATAGTTGCTTCAGGTCATGATTTGGGACATACTAGAAGGATGGGATATGGGTGAAATTTTCACTGCTTCTGCCTATGCAGGAACTTGTGATGATAATGGATTAGAGTTGCAGTGAATCTGGAACTTTTGATGAGGTATACATTCACTTACGTATATATTTACTATTGGTTCTTTACATTGTAACATATCTATAATGTTCCTATCAGATAGAACTGACAAATCCTTTAAGGCTGTGGTCCCCAACACGGTGTCCGCGGGCACCATGGCGCCTGCGGGGCCATTTGTGTGCGCCCGCCAAGTGCTCGGGGCTGGCCTGACCCCGGGCACATGGTGCATGCATGGTGCCGGAACCGGCCCAGGCGCATAGTAAGCGCCGGACCCGGGAGCGCTGCAAATTGGCCGCTCGCGCCCCGAGCGCACGGCGCTTGGGGGGGGAGTGCCGGCCCCGGGCGCATGGCGCTTGTGGGGGGTGGGGGGCGCCGGCCCCGGGCGCACGGCATTTGGAGCGGGCGCCAGGCTCCAGCGCGCGGCGCTTGGGAGGAGCGTTGGCCCCGGGAGCATGGCGCTTGCGGGGGAGGACCCCGAGCACGCGGCTATGGGGGGGGGGCCGGCGTGCATGTGTCCCCGCCCTCTGGCGCCCAACAGGCGAACGGCCATGCCCCTGGCGCCCGGCAGCCTCTAAAGGTTGGGGACCACTGCTTTTAAGAAAATATTTTAGATAGCTTAGAATTGCATCTTAATTATTGTTAATTACAGCTTTAACTTCAGCAATGCAGAGATCAAGTATTAATATCCTTAAATTATTAATTAATACGTTTACCATTTGTTATTGAAAAGGTTTAAATACTGAGCATTAATACCAGTGCTTGCATATTTTTCATATAATGACCTAAAAGCTGCATGATTTACTCAGCTAAACACTCACAACTGTCAGTTAAGAGTCTTCCTAAGTAAGGCCTGCAGGATTTGGCACTGGGCTAATGACATCACAAAAAATTAAGGCCAACATGGTTGTACTGGAATACCTAAAGTTAGTCACCTGAATTCACTAACAAAAATGACCTGATTTATTTTGTGTTGAACTGATATTGTGTGAGTTCAGAGTATTCACTGTCTCTGAAAATCAGGTCATTTTGTTTAGGTGCCTAAATATGGATTAAGGTGTTTAGCTTAGGCACTCAATTAAGGCCAAAATGCTCAAAGTGACCTAGTTTGTTTAAAACACAAACCTTTGTTATACAAATAGTCCTTATTGTGTGACTAAGGACTGCTTACTGGGATTGCGCCTTTGGCTGGTTATTTGAAATGTTTTAGTAGAGCCATGTATATTTCAGGTATAGTGAGTATAGATATAATTAACATAATCCTGACAAAATGCCACTGACAATTTATACAATAACCTGAGTATGGCTATCAGAGTGACTGAATGCACTGGTAAGTGATCAACTAAGTGTAAAAGGTACAAATTACAATCCAGTATCATGAAAGGCAATTAGACAAGTTTTGATCTTTAACTTCTCTAATATTACAGCATGGTGTGTTTTTTTTTATTGATGAAGCCTTGTGTTGATAATTATCTTCAACATAAAATAAGTTGTGATTCTTTGTTCTTGTGCCAATTTGCACCATTTTCCCCCTTCTCCAAAGTCACCATTCAAATTGAAATGGTATTAAATACATATTCTATTTAACTTTCTAATCTTTATGAAACATGCCACGTATGATATACTCTTGGAGTTATAGATAAATGTGACCATGTTCATGCTATAAATCTGTTTACTTGCCAATATTTTGCCAGAGGAATATTTTACTGTTTTAGAATGACTTCAGTTATTCTTTTTATATAATTATTTACTTTAGAACAAGTGCCATATTCTCTTTGGGCCAGATTCTCAAGTGTTGCAAATCTGTGTATCTCCATTGACTTCAATGCTGAGGGTCTGCATTTACTTTTAAAAACTGGGTTAAATGTCAAGTATTAAAAATGCAGTTTGTAAATCTATTGTAAAGTGTTAATTAAGAAATAAAAATGTAGATTAAACAAAATAATGTATTCAGGTAGTCTGAAATATATTTTCTCTATAGCTATATAAAAAACTTTTCCTGCAGGACAACATAGTGACATCATCACATCACTCTGCATCCTGCCTCCCTCCTCCTCTCCTCTTTTCGGAGTGCTCAGCTGCGGCTTCAAGGCCTCCCTCCATCCCCTTCCCCGGAGGCCAGTGGAAGATTGTGAAGCCTGGTGAGGCCTGGAAGTGGCCCCACCGCTACCCCGGCAGTTGTGGGGGGGAGCAAGCGGCTTGGTGAGCCCAGAAGTGGCCCCCCTCCCACAGTGCTCCCCCCAGCAGCTGGGGAAGAGCACAGGGCCTGGGGAGGCCTCAGAGTGCCCTCCGCCAGCAGCCAAGGGGAGAGCCAGGCATGACCTCTCCACAGCTGGGGGAGGGAAGAGCCAGGGCCAGTGGGAGCAGGAAGGGGCAAAGGAGACAACAGCCAGGGCAGCCTCAGGGGTGGAGGCAGGGGTGAAGAGGCTGGGATTGGGGCGGCCTTGGACCCATCCTGGTGGTGGAGGGGGGGAGCCGTGGCTCAGCCCCTCCCAGCCCAGCCCAATTTCTCGGCAGCCGTTGGGAGAGAGCCAGGCCAGCCGTAGCCTCGACCCAACCTCCCAGAGGCCAGGGAGAAGAGAGCTGGTTCATTCTCGGCCTGGCCAACCCCCCGGCGGCCAAGGGAGGGAGAGCCAGGGCTGGCCTGGCCCCAGAGGGGCCTGGTAGCACGGGGGAAAGTGTCAGGGCTGCTGACCCCCAGACTGGGGTGTTGACGAGTGTAGCGAGCAGGGGGCATAGCCCCCTTAGTCTCTTATATCATAACTTCTTCTGAATATGTCATTCTAGTAGAAAGATAAACTTTGGAAGAAATGTGTGAATCTGGGTAAATATACTTTGCACTGGAATTATAAGCTATCTCCTAAGTATTTTGCTAATAGTAAAGAGCATTATGAAGAAGGTCCTGAACCCTTCAAACACCAAAGCATATTCTTAACTATATCCAGTGGAGAGGTCCACATTAATTCACTGGGACTACTTACATTTATAAATTCATTGTGTGCGTAAATTTGCAGGATCAGAGCTCTAAGGGCATGTCTACACAGCAGCGTTATTCAGTGCAGGTCTACACTATAAGCCTTTATTTTGAAATAATGTCGAGCTGGAGGACTTCTTACTCCGACTTCTGAATCCTTCATTTATGAGGAGTAAGGGAAGTCGAAGGAAAAGTGTTCTTCATTCTACATCCTGCTGTGTAGACAGCGCCAAAAGCCAAGTTAAGCTATTTCAATTTAACCTAAGCAATTGATGTAGCTCAATCTGCATAGCTTAATTTGACTTTAGCCCTGCTGTGTAGACATACCCTGAGTGTTTTTATTTTAAAAAATACTATATTTACAGGATTCCTGTCCTTAGAGAATAAAACACTTAAAGGCCAACTCTAAATTAAAAAATTGAATTTATAAAGTACTGTATTACACAAGGATAGCTACCCAACAATAGAGCCCCTTTCCTCACCTTCATGACAGCTTAGCACCAATGAATTTAGATGTCCCTGGATTTTTCTTGGCAGCAAATGCTCCTAAAATCTGCTGAGGGGATTTTAGGAGCCACCTAAATTCAGCATTAATTTAAATTGGTAATTATGCTGGATTGAGGGAGAGAAGTCAAGAATGGCAATCTCCCCAGTTCCTGGATCAACTAGATTTGTGTCATCTTTGTTTGCAGAGGTGAGGAGGCTC